TTTGATTTTATTTATTTTTTTAGGTTGCGTGTTTACTTTGAAAGCATTTAAGAATGCAAAAAATACAAAGTGGCCCTACCTATCCCACCCTAGCCCCAAGTAATTCTAGTAAATAGAATGGTATTTTTCCTTACAGAACTCTGTCTATGATACTATAAATGCATAATATTTTCTACAGCGTATTTTATTTTATTTTATTGAGACGGAGTCTCACTCTGTAACCCAGGTTGGAGTGCAGTGGCATGATATTGGCTCACTGCAACCACCGTCTCTCAGGTTCAAGTGATTCTCCTGCCTCAGCCTCCTGTGTAGTTGGGATTACAGGTGGGCACCACCATGTCTGGCTAATTTTTGTATTTTTAGTAGAGACAGGTTTTCACCATGTTGTCCAGGTTGGTCTTGAAGTCCTGACCTCAGGTGATCCACCTGCCTTGACCTCCCAAAGTGCTGGGATTACAGGCGTGAACCACTGTGCCTGGCCAACGGTATCGATTTTAAATAATACAAATAGGGTCATTCAATCCATATGGTTCATTAACTTGCTTTTCTGACTTAATAACATGTCAGAAAATGAACTGACTATTTATATGTTTCGATCTAATTAATGGTTAGCTGATATAAAGCTATTTTTTAATATTTTCAAATCAGATACTTACTCAAGAGGAAATATTTTCAAAGAAATGCTGAACAGTTTGATTACATAGAAAAAGGAAGTAGTTTGTGGGTTTTTCATTTTTGCTAAAAATTTTATTTGGGTTAGTAGGAAAAAAACCCCACAGAACACTTAGCTAGATTCTAGGGTTGAAAAACTGACTTGAAAGTGATAGGAAAATTTCTTTTTCTCTCACCATGAGAAGCCTTTCAAAAAGGAAAAAAAATAAAATTATATATAAGTCTAAATATTTATTTAGATGGAGAAATCACAACATTTTGCTGGAGACTTGGAGATTCAGGTCCTTTCTAAATTAGATCTGTTCAGGAAATTTACCAGAAATGCTTATGTGGAAATTCTTCCTGTTTTGGCCTGTCCCACCTGCCTTCTCCTTTTCATGATTCTTTCAGTTGTCAGCAACTCAGGCACTCACAGGGTCTGTATAAGTGAGGGGTTCTCTGGCTCTTGTAGCCCTTCACTTCATTAGTCTTAAGGTAAATTTACATTGTTCATGAAGTAAACCCACTGGGCCCCAAGTTAAGAACCTCTATTTTACATTAACTTTATGGCTTTCTAGTGACTTACTGGATGGATGTACAATAATGTATTTAACCAGATACCTTCTTGAACGTTTAAGATGCTATTATAAACCATTCTAGGACAAACATTCTTGTAACTAAATCTTTTCACACCTCCCTGGATATTTCTTTAGGATACATTCCCATAAATGAATCAAAGGGTATGCCAAATTTTAAAGCTTCCTTTCCTTTTCCTTCCTTCCTTCCCTCCCTCCCTTCCTTTGTCCCTCCCTCCCTCCCTCTCTCCCTCCCTCCTTCCTTCCTTCCTTTCCTTCCTTCCCTCCCTTTCTCCCTCCTTCCCTTGCTGAAAGGAAGTTCAAGACATGACCTGCTTATCTGGCTCCGAAAGAAAGAGCTTATGGAATGCCATGCTCCATGCTCAAGAGAGGAATGCCTCTTGGAAGCACAAGAATGTGACCAGACTAGCTCGCTCCTATCTACAACCCCTATAGCTTGTTTAGTGATTAAATCTAGAATAGAATTTGTCCTACATGCCTCAAAGGAAATGCCAAACCCCTCATCTCCCTCCACCCCCCTACCACATTCTTGCTTTGTGTTGTACACCAATAAATGATGTGGGTCTCCAGAGCTTGGGACCCTCACAGCCTCCATACTCAGGTCGGCGCCCCCGCCACCACCAGGTCCGCACTTTATGTACTCTTAGTTTGTCTTTTCTCATTTCTTTGTCTCTGCTGTCCCTGGCAACCCCCATGCTCCTTGTCAAGGCTGGTCTCTGACTCTCTTTCTTTCTTCGACTCTCTTTCTCTCTCTCTCCTTCCTTCCTTTTTTCTTTCTTTCCATGCTACAGTGCAGTAGTATGATCATTGTTTACTATGACCCTCTAGCTCTCTTCCTTCCTTCCTTTTTCCTTCCTTTTTTTTCTTCTTTCTCAGTTGTCCAGGCTATAGTGCAGTAGTATGATCATCGTTTACTATAGCCTTGAACTCCTGGTCTCAGGCTAAACTCCTGCCTCAGCCTCCTGAGTAGCTAGGACTACAGGCATGCATCACCATGCCCAGCTAATGTTTATTTTTATGTAGAGATGGGGGTCTAATTGTCTTGTCCAGGTTGGTCTTGAACTCCTGGCCTCAAGTGATCCTCTTGTCCTAGCCTCCCAAAACTCTGAGATTACAGGCATAAGTCACTGCACTTGGATAAATTCCTATAAGTGAATCAAAGGGATGCCAAATTTTAAAGCTTTAGATTTGGTAGGAATATTTATGTTTCATTTCACAAATGAAGAACGTGAGGGTGGCCGGGTGCAATGTCTCACCCCTATAATACCTGCATTTGGGAGGCTGAGGCAGGTGGCTCACTTGAGTTCAAGACCAGCCTGGCCAACATGGTGATGAAACCCCATCTATGCTAAAAATACAAAAATAGCTGTACATGGTGGTTCATGCTTGTTAATCCCAGCTACTTGGGATGCTGAGGTAGGATAATCGCTTAAACCTGGGAGGCAGAAGCTGCATGAGCAGAGAGAGATCGCACCATTGTACTCCAGCCTCGGCAACAGGAGGGAAACTCAACTCAAAAAAAAAAAAAGAAGAATGTGAGGGTGTAGTGTTTTATACATATGGATCTTTAAACTCAATGTTGCTTTTTTTTCTCTCTCTTTCTTTTTTCTCTCTTTTGGTTGAAAGCAGAATCTTGCTCTGTTGCCCAGGCTGGTGAGCAGTGAGTGGTATGATTACAGTTTACTGTAGCCTTGAACTTCTGGGCTCAAGCTATCCTCCTGCCTCAGCCTCCCAAGTGGCTAGGACTACAGAGTAGCCTTGAACTTCTGGGCTCAAGCTATCCTCCTGCCTCAGCCTCCCAAGTGGCTAGGACTACAGATATGTACCACCAAGCCCAGGTAATTTTAATTTTTTTTTTTTTGTAGAGTTAGGGGGGCCTTACTATGTTGTCCAGGCTGGTCTTGAACTCCCTGTCTCCAGTGAATGCCTATGCTGTCTGGGGTATATACTATGGGGTTTGTTGTTGTGTGCCAAGAAATAATTCGGGACTCAGACACATGTGGGTGGGTTAAGGAGTGGAAAGTTATTTAACAGACAGAAGAAAGGAGAGAGGAGAGCAACTCCACAGGAAAGAGAGATGTCCAAAGAGAGGGTGAGGCGGTGGACTCAGCAGATTTTACAGGCAGGTTGGAGAAGGCGGTGTCTAATTTATATAGGGCTCACAGATTGGTTCCATCAGGTATGATGTCCACATAGTATGCGGGGGGGGTGAGGGAGGGGGAAGGAAGCCTGGTCACCTCACCCTAATCTTATTATGCAAATGGATTTCCCGTTGATTGCTTCTTACTGTACACGTGGCTGACAAAGCGAAGGAAAGATGGAGCTGCCATCCTGAACATGTCTAGTCCCTAGTTCCTGCTGGCATTCACCAGTGCAAGCTCCCAGCTTGCTTGTCTATGTCTACAGCTCGACTTCACAGGCTGCTCTTTGTCAGTAAATGATTTGAGGCTGCTTTTCATTAAAGAAAAAAGCCTTACCAAGGGCTCCCATACCCTTACTATCTGCCTAAGTGATTTCAACTTAACTCATATATCACCAGTTGATCCTCCTGCTTTGGCCTCCCAAAATGCTGGGATTACAGGCATGAGCCACCACATCTGGCCTTTAAGTTGAACCCCAAATTATGTATCATTCATAGTTTACCATGGAAACCATTTGCCACTGTAAAAGATTTTGCATCAGAACTATTCTTTGTGTGAAATCCCAGATTGCTTCCCTCCATTTCCCAGTTTTGCTGCATTCATTTAGATCCAGCTCTGGTTGTTTGTGCTAGGTTCTGTTTTGTGGTCTATTTGACACGAGGCAGTGGTTAGGTATTTTTTTGAGCATTATCATTTGCTTAATGCTTCAGAAGATCTCAAGAGGGCTGTCCGGTACATAAGAGGTGCTCAATAAATGGTTGATTGTTGAATAGTTAAAACAATCCTCTAACTCCAGAGAACCAGCTATGTTTCAGAAACCTCATGATCAATCCTGCTCTCCTATCATTTATGTGCTAGATGCAAATTACTGTAGACTTTTTGAGTGGTCCATAGTTGTTCTAAGCCTTATGACTATAGAGTTTTGTAAAACAGTGTGTTGCATTTTGTATGTTACCTTATTAAAAAGCACAGAGATAAGGAAATCAGCAAAAGAGAAAGAGATAGCTGGGCTCCAGTGTTCACCTTTCTTTCTCCATGGCTAGTCCAAAAATAAAACAGGCAAAAATTTTTGAGTACCTACAAGGCTAGACTGATTTGAGGAATCCAAGTTAAATGAATTCCATTATATAGCCTGATTCTGATCTGTATTAGCTATTCACATTTAGTTTTATATATCATAATAAAGTTTATTGAAGAAGCTGTGGAAAGAGTGACCAGTAGAAACTGGCTCTGTGTTTTGTATGGTTCAAAATAAAAAGATAAAAGTATGATTTCGTGAATTACATTGAATGGAGTTAGCCAGCTTGCTTTAGGCAGGCAGTAAGGGAAGGGTGTCTAGAGAACCTCCCATCTGTGTTTCCTACAGATAAGGGAACTTACACAGGATCTTGCCTAAACATGCCCACAGTGGACTAAGGGCCCAAATGCATACTAGGGGAATGGGATGGAGCCACCAGGAATTTGTACCTTATACAAATAGGGAACCTAACCCCTAACTTGTATGTAAAATCCCTTGTATTCAGCTGTGAAGCAGGCAACTGGGAACCCACTTTCAGGACCCCTCTCTTTTCTGAGAGCTTTCCTCTCACTTAATAAATTCTACTCTACTCACTCTTCAAGTGTCTGCAAACTTAATTCTTCCTGGTCTTGAGACAAGAACTGGATCTCGCTGAGCTAAGGAGAAAAAAATCCTGCATTAATGGTTCATTGCCATGTGAAGATAATTTATTTTCTTAGGTTCACAAAGTATAGAGGTGGAGAGTTAAGAAAATAATTTCACAGGGAATATACTCCATAGATGATGTATAATAACCACATAGTGAGTGAGTTCCAAAACTACTAAAGCCTAGTTGCTCAATTAAGATTGAAGCAGAGCTCTGTGGAAAATAAAGTCTAATTAAAGATTGAGGTGGGTATGGTGGTTAATGCACGTAATCCCAGCATTTTGGGAGGCTGAGGCAGGAGGACTGCTGAGCCCAGGAGTTTGAGATCAGCCTGCGTGACTTAGCGAGGCCCCAACTCTACAAAAATCATTAAAAAAATTAGCCAGGCATGGTGACCTGTGCTTGTAGTCTCAGCTACTCAGTGGGAGGCTGAGGTAGCTGGGAGGTCAAGTCAGCAGTGAGCTACAACTGCACAACTATATTACAGCCTTGACAACAGAGTGAGACTGTCTCAAAAAAAAAAAAAAAAAAAAAAAAAAGCAAAGAAACAATTGAGGTGTACCTTTTGAAGGCTGAGGTTCCTGGGAAAGATGGTGTCCAACATATTGAAGATCTGTGAGAATATGCAAGGTCTCATGATGCTAGAGGGTGGTGCCAGTGTTGGTGGATAGGTTTCAAAGCTTAAAGGCTAACAGGGTGTGGCCCTGTTGCAGCCTGAGCTGGTAGTGATAAGGGAAGTGGCTGACAGAGTGTATGATCTGCCACCCTCTGAGCTCTCAAAGTATCTTGCAAATTCTTGAGTTTATATGTATTTCGAAATCCTGTAGTTGAGGTCAGTAACTTATATATGGTGTTTGATAAGGTGTAATGTCACATTAGCTAGGAGAGGTGATGTTTACGTCAAGTTCATACATGTGGGATCTGGTGAAGGGTGAATTCACATTCCTAGTGGATGGGGGAGTATGTTCTAAGTTACGGCTAAACACGAATCACTCACTCTTGTAGCAAACTATGTGTTTGGAATCATTTCAAAGCTACGTAATGCTGCTATTTATCCCGTGTGGGTTAATCTCCTGGGTTTGTGTCCTGATCATCAAACTATGCTAACAGTGCTTGTGAAAAGTGGAATTCAAATTCTACAAACACACAATCCACATAATATCTTCCTACATAGCAAGTTGACTCATTTAGAAAAATGGTCTTTAAAAAAAGTTTCATCTATATTACATACATATTTAGCATCATTGTAAAATCATTACCTTATTGTTGGGTATTTTCAGGTAATACCTTTCCAATTCGGTGGTTTGGGGTTGTGGTTGTTTTAAAATTATTTTAAATACTGTAACCTATCTTTTGAGTGCTCACGTTGAGGGAAACTACGATGTTTATATTAAATGGCAGTTTCTTGTTCATCTGAATAAGGAAATCTGCCAATGGCAAACTGTAAGAAACACTGTGGTATACCTTGGGTTACTTTTTGAATTGCTTTCACATCTGCTTAATTTTATTTCAACAAGATCATCATACGAACCAAAAATCTCACAGTTCTCAATGCATTCCATTATCTAGCTGTAGCATTACATTCCTTACCATAAACAGCAGCAAACATGATCTTTTGCATCTTGAAAAAGTAAATGATGTCAGTATTTATTTGCAATACATTACAGTATACTTACGTACAGTCAAAACAGAAGGAGGTGTATTAGTAATTTCTCTGACACATTACTTTGGCTCAGATAAAACATTCCGCCTTTGCCTTCAGTGGCCAACTTAGCATTACAGTTTTGATTATATGCAGGCAATCTTTTCAATTCATCATACGATTTTGTTTGCTGCAGCACTAGGTATCTAATTTACAGAGGTTTGGCCACAGGGTGAAATCCTGTTGTTTTCTGGGAGCCCGACTGTAGTAACAGTCCCTTCCAGCCTCTTATTATGGACCATCCTTGAGGTCAGGAAAGGGCTAAGCTTTACCGCAGTCTCCAGCGTTTGATGCGACCCTGGTATCACGTGGGGAGCGTTAAGATCTCTTTCTAAGAGAGTGACTGATTGATGGCGGGGAAGGGGGGTAGGCGTGGGCTTAGTTCCGGGAAAAGGCTGGGCGCTCGTTGGAAGCTTACAGAAAGGTGACTTGAAGAACGTGGGGAGTCGTTCGCAGTTCGGTACGGTGGGGCGGTGGCCGGGGCTGCTGAGGACAAGCGGCCGGCAGCGCGCTGAACACCCGCCCCTGATTCCCGCCCCCACGGGCGCGCTCCTTTTCTCCGGGCGCGCAGAGGGGCGGGGCGGAGCGCCCATGGGGGTAACAGGGGACGCGGTGGGAAGGGGGCGTGCGCTACGCCCCGCCTCTTTCGCGGCCGCGCACGCCCCGCCTCCTCCCTCCCGGCGCGTGCACGGAGCCGGCAGGCGAGGCGTGCGGTGGGCGGGGCGCCGCGCTGACGTTGCCCGGGATGCGGGCCGGTTCCGTAGCCTCCAGAGCCGCCGCCGCAGCTGCCGCCGCCGCCTCCGCCGTGCCTGCCACCCGGGTTTGTATGAAAACACTGGGCGGAGGGCGGCGAGGGATCCGCCGTGATCCGGGTGCCGAGCCGGGTGCTGCGGCTCTGCGCGGTCCCCGCCAGCGCCCCATCTTGAGCCGGTGAGCGCCCAGCTGCGGTCCGCGCGTCTCATTCAGCCTACCCTCTGCTCTTCCCGGGCCGCGGGAGTGGCGGGCGGCGGCGCCCGGGGGCAGGAGGGGCGACCCTGGATCCCTGCGCTTCTTACCTGACGCGTTGTCTCTTTGGCGGGGCGTGAGGGGAACGGACTCTGTCTTGAGGGAAAGCCGTGACGGGCTGGGGCTTTGGCTGGGTCTGGAAAACGCCTTCTCCGGTCCCCGGACCCTAGGCGGACCCCCGACCCAGTCCTCGCGGAGGGTATCGGGCGCGGTCTCTGGGCGGAGGCCGCCCCTTCTGCTCTGCCCTTTCTCTCGAGCTAGAGCTCGCGGCGCCGCGGGGAGTCTAGCCGAGGGGCTGCAGGGCCGGGGGCGGGCGCGCCCAGCCCCGTCCCCCCGCCTCCCGCAGTGGTAGCCGGCTGCCGAGTCGCGGGCCCCTGTGCTTAAGGGTTCTCGGCTGAGCGCCTGCAAGGTGGCATTTGCTGTGACATCGGCTATGGGCAGGTTTGCTTCCTCTTGCTAGGTGGTTTGAGCTGAAGTGTGTGTCTTCTGTTTACAACTTGTCGCCTTGAGCTTTTGGTTTGAACCTGAATCAGATCATCCTCGGTGACAGTGCAGAGTTTTCCTAGTGTCTTCCTTCCTGAATTGCGGGTTCTCATTTGCCAGTGTTCAAGGACTCCTGTAACCCAGAGGCTGGCTCGACTCTACTGTAGTTTCCCACCTTGTGCTGCCGAATAAATCTCTTTGGAGCACCAGGGGAATTGGAGTTTTTTTGGGTTCCTTTCCTGGGCGTTTACTCAATGTAAATGGAGTTTTCATGCATCATAGTGTAATCGATGTGAATATGGATAATTTAAAGACCATTTCCCGTTCTAAGAGAGCTTGCTCAAGTGCCTGAAGGTAACGGAAATTTTCTTTGGCAGTATTAATTCAGTGTGGGTTTTTTCCTTTAGGTGTTTAAACAATTGTAGTTGTGTTTAATTTCAACGCATGACAATTTATAGTGAGAAAGGACTATAACAATCTTCTTAATCACTCATTTCCACTTACCTTTTATGTCCATTTTTTAAGCTTTATGTAAATCAAATTATCCTTTGTGGATCTCTGAATTATTCTTAAAAACTGGTTGTCTTAAAAAACCAGAAAGTTATTTTTGTAATTGTATTATGGAATATTTTTAGTTAAGTAGGCCAAAAAAGTGATTTATTTACGGCGCTTTAAATGGTGCTTATTTTAAAACATGTGCCAAATGTCAAAACTAAACAAAACTCTAAAAGAGCTTTATTTCCTAGTAGAATTACTGCGAGATAATTAGTTGTGCCTTCCTCAATGTTTCTCATCCTGCAGGCAGAATTCTAATATGACTTGTTCATTTTCCCATTCTACTTTTCTGGAGTTAAACTTTATGGTGAAGTTACATGTTTGTTTTTAATGATCACAAAACTCTGCCTTGAATTGATTCATCACATAATTGCAACTGCAGACTCACTCTGAACTCGGAAATGAAGTGGATAGGCTTAAAACTACCCTCATATTTGGCCAATATTGCAAAGCATTTAAATCTATTAATGTACAGTTTTGTAGAAGCTATTTTTATAAAGCTTTTCCAATTGACTTGAATTGAGACATTGTACTCTTTAAAAAAGTCTAGCTAATGGTTTTACTTCCATTAGCAGAAGGAAAAAAGGTCCAAGAGTCACGAAATTTTGTAATTTGTTTTCTACCTTTTTTTTTTTTTTTTTTTGAGATGGAGTCTCACTCTGTTGCCCGGGCTGAAATGCAGTGGTTTCATCTCGGCTCACTGCAACCTCTCCGGATTGGGTTCAAGCAATTCTCCTGCCTCATCCTCCTGAGTAGCTGGGATTACAGGTGCCCGCCACTATGCCCAGCTAATTTTTGTATTTTTAGTAGAAAGGGTTTCACCATGTTGGCTAGGCTGGTCTCGAACTCCTGACCTCAGGTCATCTGCCTGTCTCGGCTTTCCAAAGTGCTGGGATTACAGGTGTGAGCCACTGTGCCTGGCCTGAATTTTTTAAAACCTCATCCAAAGTATTCATCTTCCCAAATCTACTTTCCTTGCTTGAAGTCCCCTGCTATCTGGAAGTTGAACAATGCGTGAATAGTAATGGATGCACCTGTCAGAGGGCCATCTGCAAGGTGGGAGCTTTCCTTAGGCAGTGGGTTTCAATGTAAACAACAGAAATTGTGTAGGGTAGGCACTGAATTTTCAACTTCATATGTTATTGTTGATTACTGTGCCTGTGTACTATAGTATAGTGGCTAAGGGTTTGGGCCTCAGAGCCAGATGACTAGGTTTGTGACCTGGCTTTGCTTTAGGCAAGTTATTTTCATTTATTTTTTTAAGGCAAGTTATTTTTCCTCTTTGTACTTTAATTTTCTCAGCTCCAAAAATGACATAATAATAGTGTATATTCTTAAGATATTCTCAAATATTAAGTGATTAATGCATGTAAAGTACATAGCCCACAGTGCCTGGCATTTAGTAAGTGCCCAGTAAATGTTGTTGTTATTGCTGTTGCTCTTCCTCAGTCTTGTAAGGGATCTAGCAAGAGGAGAAAGGACTTTTGGCGGATGGAGCAGTATTAGTGCGGATTAATTCCACTATGACCCATTTGCTCCTTTGGGGTTAAATGAGAGCTTAGTTTCACTGTCCTGCCTTGGAAACATGTAAGTCAGTTTTAAATAGAACAGCTAGACCCTGAGCTGGGTGCCCTGGGATGCTACTGCTGAAATATCCCTGTCTGTCCCTTCTGACAGAACCTTGGATTGTCTCCCTCCTGTTGGTGATGGCTGCTATTTTAATCTTTTAATCATCTGTTTTTGAGTTTGTGATTGGGTGTTTCTTTGACTACAATGTGCCACTATCAAAAATATGATCTGTCAAAATATTGGTAGGTAACCTTGTTTATTTGATCAGGATATTGTGTGATGTTTCCAGGGTACACAAAACCAGTTTTATCTAAGCATTCTTCATTTTCTTCTTTATTGATATTATATAGAGTGAGGTCAGTTTTGATTTGACATTGTGTTCATTTTTAGCTTTTGTATAATTTTCCTAGGGACTTTTTTTTCCTGCCAGTAATGATTTTGCATACTTGTTCTTGGTTTGCAGGGATCTGATATTAAAACTCTAAATGCTTTCAAACTTTTGGTCTCAGAATATTTTTATACTGTTAAAAGTTATTGAGGATCCCCCCCAAAATTTTTATGAATATTTACGGTATTGTAAATGAAGAGAAATATAAATTGTTTTGTCAATTCACTTAAAATGCCAGTTATAAACTCTACATGTTAATATAAATGCCATAGTTTTAATGAAAAGAAATTTTTTTAAAGCAAAAAATAAGGTAGTGAGAAAAGTGGCATCGTTTTACTTTTTTGTAAGTCTGTCTGGTTTAATGGGAACAGCTGGATTATCATATTTGCTTCAGCATCCAGTCTATTGCAATATGTTGTTTGGATTGAAGCATATGTGGAGAAAATCTAGTCTCACACAGTTAATGGCTTAATATGGTAGGGAGGCCAGGGGAGAGAACATTTTAATAGCTTTTTCAGGTTATTGTGGATATTCTTGTTGGGCATCATATCAAAACTCAGTAAGTGCCAGTTTCTTAAAGGTTAGTTGCAGTGAGGAATCTGAAATCATGTTAAGTGGATTTTTGCCTGCTCTGTTACATTAAAACCCATTGGTTTGAACTTTGAATAGATCTTATACCCATTCCTGAAATTGTAACATCTTTCCTTGGTCATTTGTAAATATTGGTTCAGTGTTATGCAGATCTTCCTCATGTTGATGTCTTTCATCATGCAATAGCAAAGAAAGTTACTTTTGTTAATATCACCACCCATTCTGTTAGAGACAAATTATTGGGAAGCTGTTTAGATCTTGACATGATGGTGGTGGATACGATTTTTCCAGAATTCTGATATTTGCTTGAAAGCTCAAATTCTATCATTGGCAACAGATGTGACTACCAGTCGTTTACTTAAAGTGACAAGCAAGTTCACTTTATTCTTTTCTGAGAAAACCTCTGCCAAAATATTCCAGTTTGAATAACCATAGTCTGTCAGTCATTCTTTCAGTCACTTCCATTTAAAAACAGGCTAGTCGAAGCTCTCAATTCAGTAAAGAAGTACTTTACTTTGAGACAGCCATCAACTATTGTAATTTGGTATGTAGCAGAAATGGTTCATGCAAACTTCTCATTTTGTCACATAAAAAGGTGTGTAAAAATGAATAATATTTACTGTTTCAAGGACATTCTTAAGTGACATTGACTTTTTCTTGTTTTATACTTGCTGGTGCTTGATGGTGACTTTAATTCATTCTAAGATGCCAGTAATTTTAAGATTTTAAATTTTAGTATTATACAAATAGTTTTGATCTTGTGGGTCCCCTAAAAGAGTGTCAGGACCCCAGGGGCCCATGTATCATGCTTTTAGAACTTATGGAGTTAAATCTTAAAGAGGATTTCTCACAAATCTTTGATTAAGAAGTGAAGTGGTAGTGACAATCTCTGGTTTGTTCTGTTTTAGGCTTTGGGACCTGGTAAAGGCCTTATTAAAAATTTTTATTATAGTTAGATACTATGAGTAAGTTCTACAGTGTTCTCTAGCACTATAGGATCACTCTGATTGATAATATATAGTTTCAAATAGCCAGGAGGATATTGAATGCTCTTAATAAAAAGAAATGATAAATGTTTGAGATGATGGATTTGCTAAGTACCCTGATCTGATTGCTATGCATTACGTGTATAAAAACATCACTGTGTACCTCATAAATACATTTGATTATCTGTCAACTAAACATATAATAATCATATGTATTTTAACATACAAAATTAAGTACAGTAAAGGTTATTCAGAGAAAGTTTCTTAATGGTAATAGTCAGGTGCTGATACAGTGGGATTATGGTATTAGTAATCTGAATACCATCTAAAAACAAAAATCAGACTTGGTAGTACATTTCTATATAAATGTTCAAATTTAACATTTTGGGAATGCAAGTATTAAACAGTGAAGGCACAATGTGAAAGGCTCCACTAATATCTAAATAGTAAACTTAAAAAAAAGTGACCTGTTTTCCCTTCTTAATCTCTGCTTATTTCTCACTTAATTCATGCTGAGAATGAGCCATCCTAGGGAGAAATGCCAGGTACTTGCTGTCTTTGCCTCACATTTTTTTCTTATGGGGAAAATGATTTAAAATTATGAAGATTATAAGAATATTCATTACATTGGGATTAAAAACAATAATAAAGTCAGCCGGGAGATATATGGTGGGATAATGTTAATAAAAATCTGAACACTGCCT